AGGAGACCAGAAAGCGGAAGGCTGCAGAGAAAGCCGAAAGAGAGCATCGTAGAAGCCTCCGCGACGCTGCCAAAGCTATACAATTGCCCCAATCGGGTAAGCGCAAAGCGTCAAAACCTCATAAGCCAGCTACAAAGCGTCAAAAGTGTGGTGGTGTTGCTCCAGCTGTGGTGGGAGCCGCAAGGGTTGCACGAGCTGCTCCACCGCGTAGTCGACGGCAACGACCGATAACGCCCTCCAAAAAAATTTCTGAATAAGCCAAAACTTTCGTAGGCCTGTATATAGTATAATCCTAGCTTTGCGCAATTTTATTACGATTTGTGGTGGCTCTACAGCCTCATCTTGTTAACTATATTGAGTTGTTGGGGGTGCTCAACTGGCGATGGTGCTCATCTGGTGCACGGGCACTGTAGGGTTAGGTCTTGGCGATCAGCCCTGACTGGTTGGGATCACAGAATCCTGGTGCTCGAGTCCGCACCCGGATTCTGCCACTTATCTGACAACTTTCTTTATAGCTTCTTAATTTTCCTAAGCGTAATAGCTATAAGTAATTAGTTATTATACGTAATAAAAGCTTAAAATAAACTTACTACTAGGCTTAAATAAGCGCTTTTTAGCGGTATAAGTAGTCTTAGTAGCACCCTTACGCGCTGCCTTTTCCGCTAGATTCTTACGCGGCTCTTTGCCTCTAGTTAACCTTTTTGCTATTTGCTAGGTGTGGGCTATAGTATGTAATAAAGAACTGTAAGTATAGTAGCAGTAGTAGCAGTAGTGGTAGTGGTGGTGGTGGTGGTGGTGGTAGTAGTAGAAGTGGTAATTGTAAGGGGCTGCGCTCCGGGGAGCAATCGCGAGGTATACAAGAGGTTGTATTCGATAGAGAGCTATAGAGTCTACTTGCGTGGTGTTTATTTACTTGTCGGAGAAAGGTTGCACCGAGTGTCTGAGCGCGTCGTCTGGGCGCCGCTCAGGCCTCGCACAGATGCCGGGTTGCAGAGTAAGACCTGGCGTCTGCTGCTTGACCGAGATTCCATCGAGGAGC